GCCCCTCTCTTACCACAGCCTTTGTGGGTCTCTATTTTCCAAGTTTTCTATTCTTTCTTTCAATTCGCTGACACCATTCCTCTTACTTCCATGTAGCTTGGGTTGCAATACCTTTCTTTGCTTTGGCCAACACTATTTTATTTTATATTTTTGTGGTCACAGCTTAGTGCAAGAGTTAAGCCCTTAAGAAGTCACCTTTTACACTAAAACAATCATCATATATCTTACCTTCTAGAACAGAGTTACCCTGAAAGAATTACCTTGCTATTTGTATGTAGCATTCATTCTTCACATATAGTAAGTAGTTAGGACAGTATTTTGCATCAACTACACATACACACACACACACACACACACACACACACACACACACACGCTGGTATGCCTTCTTGCATCTGTAAATGGGTCTCTATGTGGTCCAGTATTCCTTTCACAATTTAAGGTCATACTGAAATATATGCAAGCTTTTCTTTAAAAGGCATCAGTTCCTCTCATAATCAACTGCAAAAAGCAATAGAAGGTATTGCCACCCATACAGCTTAAGGCAGTAAAATGCTTCACTTAATAAGTAACGGATATTAGATTGTCTTTGTGGTTGTTTCACATTTTGATCACATCTCATTTTCTATTTGTTATCTAGATAATTTGCCCCAAGCCTCTGTTTTCTTTATTTTTCAACTACTGTAAAATTTGCCTTTCAGAAATTAAAGATAGTTGCAAAATAAGGAGAAAATAAGGCCATGGTAAATTAAGTTATAAACTCTATGTAATTCCAGGAAGCAATAATTTGAGAGTACAGAGGCAGGAAGAAAGAGAAAGAGAAGAAAGAGAAGCTAGATAATAAATGAATACAGTCAAGATAGAGCCTGAACCTTGAAAATGTGTTTATTTGTTTTATTTTATTTTATTTTGTTTTTTATTTTATTTTATTTTATTTTTTTGGTGGAACCAGGGATTGAACTCAAGCCCTTGGGCTTGCCAGGGAAGCACTTATTCTACTGAGCCATCTCCCTGGCCCCTATTTTTTTATTTTAGAGAGAGTAAAAATAACTTAAAAATTAGAAACAATATAGAATTTCCAAAACAAGATGGTAAGAATACAAAAATTTTTGCTGCACTACACATTGTTGTCTTCTAAGTAGTTGTTCAGATTACCAGATATGGTAAAATTGGTCAAAAATAAGTTAAGCAAAACAAGGCCAGAGATACAGCTCAGTGACACAAGTACCTGCACGGCAAGCTCAAGGTCCTGAGTTTGATTCCCAGTACCAAACATAAAATAAAATAAAGTCAAATAAAAGACAGAAAAATGAATTAAGCATTAACAGCTCCTTTCAATAAACCAATAGAAATTAGTGGTACAATTATCTTAGCTATCCTCTGTGTGCGTGTGTGCGTGTGTGCGTGAGTGCGTGTGTGTGCTTTCCCTTTCTTCTTGCTTTCTTTTCTCCTTTCCCCCATCCCAGTTGTTCTTTCATTTTGGGCAGTTTTATTAACCTGGGAAATGTAAATAAGCAAGCCTAACTATTCCAGACTGTTGCAATAGGCTCTTTCCTCTGAGCTCGCCCAACTTCCTCAAAATCAAGCCTAGAACACAGCTAAGAGCTGACATGGCAGAAACCAGGAATTTATTATTTGGCCATTTCCTGGTTGGGAAAGTAGTATGTATTTCCTCTTATAAAAAGCAATTTTTTGACCGGCGTCATGATGTATGTAACTAAGGCTGGGCACCCAATTTCTCACACTTTCTCTTCTTTGGAAATCACATTTTAAAAAGATGCTCCTACACTCTGAATAAAATCCTCCCTGGATCTTAAAGCCAGCAAGAGAGTTCAAAACACACTTATTTTAAAGGGTCCAAAAGAGAATTTATGATAGAAATTTTCTGCATTGCATACTCTAATAAAAGGAAAGACAGGATCTTATTGTTCGGAAGTAGCTGAAAAAGTATATAGCAATTAAATGCAATATAAGGACATCCGGGTTAATTTTGGAGATGCAGACGTGGGAGACAGATGAAAGTAGGATGTGAAGAAGGAAAATGGTTACACTGGTGTTGTAGGCAGCTGAATTAGATAGAAATAGTATAGGCAGTCAAATGGGCTGGGCCCTCAAAGAAACAAATGTGGAATGCAAGATATTTTGCAACTGTGAGAGAGACAGGCACTCCTGCTGTGGGCCAGATCTCAAGACAAAATGTTAAACAAATACACCCACATACCTCTCTAGAGATAAACATCAGGGATTGGTATTCTAAATAGGTCTCCATTGCTTTGAAAAATCTGAGAAGAGTCACTAAATCAACCCCCTACTAGAAGAGCCCCCGTTCTGTATTCATGTCTGCTTGCTATTTGACTTGGTTGTCCATTTGACACTGATTTAATTAGTTTTACCTAAACAATTTTACTTGTAATCTTATTTGGACCTCATGCCTACATTGCAAGTTTCCCATGTTTTACACTTTGGACCTGCCTCCCCTCGTGGTTTTACTCTGTGAAATTCCCTATAAAAGACAGATTCCTGGGCAAACCACTCAGGTCCCCTTTTGTCCCTCTCTCTGAGACAGAAGATTTCTTTCCCTCAGTGATTATATTCTGCTCTTAAGCTCTGTTGTTCTTAAAGTTCATTCCTCAGTTCTATAGAACATGAACTCATCCCAGGTATCTGTCAGGGTGGGAGTTTCATTGTCCTATATTACTGGTTCCAAGGCAAGATAAGTATTACTTAAAACCAATTCTTCAACTACCAAACATGTACAGAATGCATTGGAACTACCCATAATTTTAAGAGAACAATCTGTGCTGTGATATTGTGGACACTTTCCTTTATTATTATTTTTATTTCAACTGAATTAATATCCACCTTCCCTAAATGTATCTTCGTCAACACTATTTAGTAGCACTGTGTTTTGAAGCATTGTATTTAAAGATTTTAGTTTCTTTCTTTCTTTCTTCTTTCTTTCTTTCTTTCTTTCTTTCTTTCTTTCTTTCTTTCTTTCTTCTTTCTTTCTTCTTTCTTTCTTTCTTT